AAAACTTCCTAAACGCCAAGCCCTTATTGTTTTTCTCCTCATGACCGGAAAAACTTTCGATGTAGCTGACACTATCCAATCCGCCCTCCACGATTCCGTCAACACCAAAAAACTCACCAATAGCATCATCTTTCCCCACCTTGTCTCTGACATTTTCGCAAGTGCGGAGTTCCTTCATTTGATAATGACAGCTATTTCGAACCTGCACCTCTATTCCGGTATGAGCGCCTCAAACAGCCCACTCTTGGACCCCACCCACCTATCCACCCTGTTTACGATGTTAGTGCAGGCCAGCAGCTGCTGAGCCAGCCGAGGAAGGCCAAGATGCTCCTGAGCCTTCCCAGCCAGTCACCTTAGACACACTTGCGGATGACATTGACGAGCTGTCTGAGGAAGTTCACCAGATACGCGTTACACTCCTCCGGGAGATTAAGCGGCAAAAGGATCGTGATGCATTGTATGACTGAGATCGTCACTACCGCCGCCGTCTTGATGCATTGATCACGGACCGGTTGAACTTTGCCTTACCGGAGAGGAGGAAGCAGGACATCAGGTGCAGACCATCAGGGAATGAAGCAGATGATCCTGGGCAGCAGTTGTAGTTTTAGTTCTTGTGTTTCTGTTATTTTCTTTTGTTTCATTTGTTCTGAGGCTGGATATTTTTGAACGTTTATTGTGCTCCTTAGTCTTGAACTTGTTTAGATGGATGTTTTCTAATTGGTTTGTTATGATCTTTGCTTGATTTTCCCCTTGCTTCATTTCTGGTATTTGCTGTCATTGATTCTCACCTTGAGGACAATGTTGTGTTTAAGTGTGGGGGAGGGACTTATTGTGGATTCTAGCAAATATTTCTCATGCATCCATGCATCTATTTGATTTTGAGGTGTTTTTGAACTTATAAAGTGGTTGAATTGTGAATATTTTGAGTTTAGTTGCTGAAGAGTTGAAATTGCACAAGATTTTTCATTTCTGCCACCCTTCGCCATGGCGAAGCCCTCCTTTCTTTCACGATTAATTTTCTCTCGGGATACTTTCGTTGCGGCCAACTTATGTTTCGCCGCGACGAAGGCTAGCCCTTTCCCTAGATTTCGTCTCTGCCTCAGTTCGTCGCGGCAACCTAAATAGTTCGTCGCCGCGATCACCCTTTTTTTTTTAAAAAAAATTCAAATAATTAATTCTTTGCAATTTCAACTGGTTTTCAGAAATTTTTCCTGGCTTAGATTCTTTATACTCCTGCATCCTTTTTAAAATTATTAGAAAATTTCAAATTGTACTAGTGCTTTTAGAAAATTTTCCATGCTTTTAAATGAGGGATGAACTTAGGCTAGTTATTCTCATGTTTTTGACAGATAGTAAATGATGATATGCTTTGAAATCATGACTATGTGGTTGTTAACCCTTGAGATTGATTAATTGAGATTTTAACCTTGTTGGAAGGATCTTTGGGCCTAAAGTTATTAAATTGAGTGATCTACTTATTTCATATTTCTCTAGAACTTGTTTTAATTCTTAATAGAAGCTTAGTGAATCAATTTTTGTAAATATGATAGAGGCATTCGATTTCAAACCCTCGTTTCCCAAACACAAACCCAATCATTTCACCATTGTGAACCCCTTTGAGCCTTCATTTTGAGTACATGCATGCAATTATCTTGTAATTTATTGTAAAAAAAAAAAAAAGAAGCTGCTTCATTTGAAAAAAAGAAGAAGAAGAAGAAGAAGAAGAAGAAGAAGAAGAAAAAGAAGAAAAAAAAGAAAAGAAAAGAAAGGATAAAGATATAAAAATTATAGAATAAAAACTAAGTAGCTTCTTCCCTTGCTTTTATTTAGATTAATTCTGTTTTAATAATTTGTACGCTTGTACTCATTTTCATTTTCATTCTCATTCCATTCATTTCACTTGACCTTCATTCAAGTTCTAAACCTTAAAAGTCCTCTTGATTTACAAAGTTTGCTTCCTGTGGTGGAAAGGTAGAATTATTACAAGCCTATGGTAGAAATTAGATTTAGTAGACTTGAAGTGAAATAACCCTAAAACAAGTGAGTTAAGAGTGAAACACTTATCCGTGAGTTAGATCTTTCTTGATCAATCTTTTGAGTTAATTATCCATTATACTCATTTTCTTAGCATATCCTTGTTTACTGATGTCAACCCTGTGAGAGTTTCTTTCTAATCTTCTACTTTCATCTTTAAGCATGGTAGTGTTTCTCTTTGTGCTAGTATCACTTTGAATTATTCTTGAGCTTTGTCCAGGAGTACAAAGGTCTAAGTGTGGGGGAATTTGATTGAGCTTAAGTTATTATTATCTTTTCATTACATTATCCATGATTTTATGGTATTTTCTGGCCCTTTTTAATGATAATTGTGCTTAATTTAGATTAAGAGTCCTTACTTTAAGTTAGTGTCATTTTGAGGATTAAATTGTTATAATTGGTTATTAATTGGATTCAATTGATTTCTAGGACAATTGATACTTCAATTTGTTGCTTTTTTATTGTAGGACACTAAAGATTGGGGCCAGAATTGAAGAACTCAAGGCACAAGAAGCAGGAAAGGATCTTCTGCCTAAGTTCGCCGCGGCACACATATGACTTCGCCGCGGCGAAAATCATCTGCTGAAGCAAGGCTCTCTGTCATGTTTCGCCACGGCGAACCTATGCTTCGCCGCGGCGAACATCTTGTATCAGCAAATCTCAGACCCGACCATTTCGGGAAATTTTGACCTACCCATCCCCAGAAACCGCCCATGCACGCAAATTTCGGGTTAGAAACCCTATTTTGGGTATGATGAGATCAGACTCTCATGATTCAGCCTCCACCTACATTTCTATCATCTTCTTCTCTTATCTCCCCCTCAGAAACCCTAATCCTCCATTTCCATTTCTTCCATCTGCTACTGTCATGGCTGAAGAACAATCTCTAGTTAGAGCTGATTCAAGAGCTATGATGAGCTAAGCTTCTCAGCTCTTGAATATGGTGGAAGAAGCATGAGTTCCAAGAGCTTCAAAGGGGAGTTAGCTTCATCCATAAGTTCTAGTTCTCTATTTATGAATTTCTAGGTCTTAGGATTTGTAAATTTGTGCTGAACTATTTTGATTATGGTTGTAATCAATTTTGGATGATTATCTTGTGTATTGGATTAGTTAATGTTGAATTTGAGCTTCAATATATGTGGTTACATATATGATTCTATGCAACTCTTTTGATACTCTCTTTCTTGCATGGTATTGTGTGATTGTTGAGTTAATCTAGGCTTGCATTTAACCAAGTGCATTAATTAATCTTAATACACACACTAAGTGAGCTTAATAGGATCTTATGAAATGGGTGCCATTGATTAAGATCCTAGACTTAAAGAGTTCTTTAAGGTTTTTTATTTAGAAAACATGGTGATTTTTACTCCCAAAAATTATTTTGAACTATGATTGCTTCAAAGCCATATTCAAGAGATTACATATCATTAATTTCCATTACATTACTACTATCTTAGAAAAATCCAAAAACATAGTAACTTAGATTTGATTTAATTGCATTTAGTGTTGGCATTTCATTAAATGTTAAAACCCAAAAACCCCCTTTTTCATTACTCTGCATAACATTTAGTCTAACCTAGATAACTAACTAAGGCTCCCAAAAGAGAAACGACCCGAGTTTGCATTACTGCATTGCTTGGAAAATTTTTTTGAGTGAGAACCCCTAAGCGAACAATAAGAAAGGCTCTCTTTCAGTTATACTTTGTTATACTTTTTATGATTTTAATTCTATAGGAACACAAAGGAGTTGGGACATTCTAGTACTTAGGAGACGAGTCGAGGTGACTCTTTCTTTAGGCCATCTGACTGAGCATCATTCCGTGCTGATTCATTGATGGTGCTCAATAATATTTATAATTATTTTTTTCATAATAATATTTATAAGTATGTTAAAGTTTATGTTTGCTACTTTAAGTTAATTTTAATTTTAATTTTAATTTTGTCTCTTAATTTTATAAAGTGTACTAGTAGTGCATGTTCTAAGTTTTGATTTTGCAATATAATAACTTTTATATTTTAAAATTTAAGCATTTAAAGAATCAATAAAATATTAAAAATACTAAAGTATCAAAAGCTTAACCATTTAATGCTCTCTCCATATATAATTATTTAAATGCTTAAATTTTAAAATATAAAAATGAATATAGTAAAGAATTAAAATTTAAAACATGCTTGATCGCTATTTAATTGCAAGGTCACTATTTAAATTTGACAAGTTAGCATTTTTTGCTATATAAGATTAACGGTATTAAGATTCAGGGATTAAAGATACACTTTATAAACTCAAAAAACTAAATTGAAATGAAATTTGAGATAAACTTAAAGACCAAACATATACTTCAATCTATTTTGGAATAGAAACTTTTCACCTATTTTTCCTTTATTAAAAGATATATTATTCATCTTGATTTAAATTTTGGTTGCCTCATAGAAATAAAACTTAAATGAATTTATTTTAAAATTTTTCTAAATATTAAAATCTAGTTGGTTATAGATAAAATGTTTTAAATAATAAAGAGGACTGTAGAAGAGAGAGAATGTCTGGTAGAAAAAATGCTTCCAAGGGTCGTGCGATAATAAATATTTTAATATTAAAATAAGTAATTAAATGAAGGTAAATTAGATAATTAACGAAGAAAATTTGAGACATTCTTGAAGTGTCTCTTATAAGTAGAAACAACCATTATTTATTGCTTTGTATTTAAAAAAAACGAAGAAGAAAGAGTACGAAACATGTAGAAGTGACTTGTAATAAGAACTCAAATCATATTCAATAACACTCGTGTTAGTTTAGTCCACAATGGAAAAGAACCGTGCTGTTTTTTTAGGCGTTCCCATAGTGCGTAGTCTTATTTTGCTATCAATCATGATCCATTCAACACGTTTTAGTCGATTCAAAACTTCTTGGCAAATAATTGAAAGGAAATTTCTGCCATCAAAGAAATCTAAATCATTGGAAAGATTATTCAGTCTTCCTGCAAATTTCATAGAAGGGAATATGATTATCTTGAAGAAAAAAGAAACATCTACAAATCTATATTTGTCCCTTTGCTCAAGCGAAAATAAACTTGACTCCAAACTCCCATAAACCTCTTGGTTGGGATTTTCTTTCAATCTATCTACTTGTGCTTCCCACTCTGATTGTTGGAGCTTAAACAAAGAGGAACCTGACACTTTGATTGCTAATGGAAGTGCTTTAGCATATTGTAGAAGTCTATGACTCAACTCTTCAAATTCATTATTAGGATCATCACTTCTAAATGCTCTTCTACTAAGATGTTGGGCAGCTTCTTCGCCGTTCAGCAGTTCAATCTTGTAAACTTTATCCACTCCATGCCTATCAAGGATTTTCTCATCTCTATTTGTTATGATGATTCTACTCCCCGCACCAGATCACTAGTGTTAGAATAATATGACAATGGATCAAAAACATACCGGGTCAGATCTCGGGTCGGGTCGTTGGATCTTTTTAGCTCATGCTTAAGCTAGACTATAAAAGTCTAAGCTTTTAAGTACACAGTAGAGCACCTCTTTGCAAGAAAGAAAATAAGAGAGAGAGATATAGTAGGAAAGCTCTACTACAGATAGATATAGCTTTTGTCAGGGATATTTTGGGAAGCAAAGAAATATCCACTGAGCCCATCAAATAAAATCTTAGATAAGATATAATATATCCTTATCTCATAATATCATGATATTTGAATTTATATCCAGAATCAATCACAATTAATTCTAAATATATATACTTAATATATATATTTAATCTACACAATATAAATTAATTAATTTAATATAAATTAATTAGATTTATATCATAACCGATTGGATATGATTCAGGGTGTTTGACCAAATCAAACATATCACAATATCGCTTGGATATTTGACTGGTATATTCTCTTTATACCCAGTCAAATAATCCGGCCCATCAAGGGCGGATCCAAGCCCAAAATCTAAGATAAATCTAAGATATTTGACTGGTATATGACTCGTACTTGATGGGCTGCCCATCGTGCGATAGATAAATCTTTCATTGCTTCATACTAGGTGTCTGCCATGACCGCGTGGGCATGACGTCATCGATTCGGGCGCTTGTGCACTAGAAATCCTTTATGCAGGACCAACACACAAGAACACCCTTGGTGTACCTGCAAATTGTATGCTTGTTGCCTCGAATGCTCTAGTTTTATCCATACACTTTTCTTGTGGCATATCTAATCCCTCTCGAGTTATTTTTCTTTACTCAGATTGCCTTCCCATACGTATGGTATCTACACTTGCTTAGTTGTTCTGTTCAACCTGCAAGGGACATGTCACAGACACCAACGTAGATGTGTATTTCGGGATAAATCTTCCTTCTGACTATCCATCATTTAGATTTAGCATAGTTGCTTTCCCAGTCTTGACCCGTTAGATCACATTATTCTTGACCATAGGGTTTAGGCTAGAGTAGCCGTCACTAAACCAAACCGTTGTGTGTTGTCTAAGTCTTAAGGGCATTATGAAAGGTTTATATCCTTTCTGGAACTCACACCGTAATGGATTAGGGATCTTCTATCTACCTCCTATGTTGCGGATTTGAGTGAGCTCATGCAGTATGAATTGCATGCTACGGTGCTCAATCCATCAAGTGGAGTATGTCACTTTTGGTTTTAATAGCACTGTATAGACTTAAGTTCCAAATGCACTCCAACATTTGAACCAGGAGCTCTTTCATCACAACCATATATGACGTCTTACTAGTGAAGAGTTCCTTGTCTGGCTACAGGTCTCATGGATGACACATTATCCATGATTCGGCCTAGACTTCTATGGGTCTCATCTCAGTCTAGTTGAGGTGACATTTGTGCAGTGATTCTTCTCTACCATCTCATAGTGATCATCTGCTGTCAAACCTTCTATATCCCATGAGAACATAGCGAGGCAGTTGCTCGTGTGAGTAAGCCAACCTTATGACCTATACGACATATTTGTATTGCATACCTCGTGCCTATACATGTATAAATACACAAATGTATATACAAGAAAAATTTCCTTGAACTAGATAAAATGCATTGAAATACTAAGTAAGAGGAAACAAAAAGTTCAGTACAACATGCCTTGTGCCTGCATGTTTGAACAAGAAAAAAGGATCAAAAAGAAAAAGGAGTTCAATACATCATGCTCTACACATGCCCAAGGCCTTTACATGCTTAATGAAAGGATCTCTAGCTATAGGCTTGGTTAGGGGATCTGCCAACATCTTATGAGTGGACAAGTATTGAACTGTCACTTGTTTCTTAGCGATCATATCCCATACAAAGTGATACTTTATGTCTATATGCTTAGTACGATTGTGGTACTTAGGGTCATTTGCATAGGCTATTGCTGCTTGACTATCGCAGTGAATTAGAGTTGGTCCCTCACTCCCATCATGGATTCCCAATCGTACTAAGAATCTTTTGAGCCACACAGCTTATTGGACAGCTGCAGAACATGCTACATATTCTGCTTCCATGGATGAAAGAGACACACACGTTTGTTTCTTGCTGCTCCAGGAGATTGCTCTGTTATTTAGTAGGAAAGCACAGCCTGACGTTGAGTGTCTCTTGTCCAGGTCTCCTGCCCAATCAGCATCGAAATTACCCTCCGCACGAAGGTCATTTCCTTGATAGCACAACTCATAGCCCATGGTTCCTTTTAGATATCTCATAATCCTCTTTACAGCTTCTCAGTGTTTTACTCCTGGATTAGATTGGAATCGGCTCACAAGTCCGACTGCGAAGCATATGTCTGGCCTGGTACACAATATGGCGTACATTAGGCTGCCAACAGCACTTGAATATGGGACTCTCTTCATGCGTTCTATATCGCATTGTTTTTTAGGGCGCATTTCCTCGCTTAGGTTATGTCCCTTAACCATAGGGGTATCCATAGGCTTGCAGTCTCTCATATTAAAACACTCAAGAATCTTTGCTATGTATGCCTTTTGTGACAATGACAACAATTTTCTAGAACGATCTCTTCTTATCTTAACACCCAAGATATATTTTGCTTCGCCCATGTCTTTCATCTTGAAGTTCAAGGATAACCACTCTTTGATCATCTTTATTAGTTTAAGATTGGTACCAGCCAAGAGTATGTTGTCGACATAGAGGGATAGAATGACAAAGTTGTCTCCAAACCACTTGATATAAACGCAGTGATCTTCCTCGATCATTTTAAAGTCATAGGGGCTTATAGCTTTGTGGAACCTTAAATACCACTGCCTAGATGATTGCTTGAGTCCATAAATGGATCTCAAGAGTTTACAAACCTTTTGTTCGTTCCCTTTCTGTATGAAGCCCTCAGGCTGTTCCATATAGATTTTTTCATCTAGTTCTCCATTCAGGAAAGTGGTTTTTACATCTATCTGATGTAACTCTAAATCTAAACTTGCTACTAGTGCCAGTATCAGTCGTATCGAGTTGAAACGTACAACAGGTGAGAAGGTGTCTGCGTAATCCACTCCTTCCCATTGTGTATACCCTTTGGCAACTAACCTTGCTTTGGGTTTATCAATTGATCCATCAGCCTTACTTTTGTACTTGAAAACCCACTTGCTCCCAATTGCCTTTCGGCCAGGTGGTAGATCAACTAATTCCCATACTTGGTTGGATTCCATGGAATCCATTTCCTCTTGCAAGGCCTTCTGCCATTTTTCCTTAGCAGGTTCTGTTAGTGCTTCTTTAACACTTACGGGGTCTTCTTCATCATTTTATGGACTAATGATGAAGGTTGCTCCTTCAATTAAGAAGCGTCTCCTAGGAGTTTTGTCTCTGTTACTTCTCCTAAGTGGGGTTGCTATAGCACTTTATTCCTGTGACTGGTTTAAACCTTGTTGTGAAAATGGTTCAACCCTCTCACTCGGATCAGTAGACTGAGGAATACTTTGTTGTACGTCATTGCCATCATCCTCATAAAGACGGCTTGTTCGATCAATACTCCCTCTGCTAGGATATTTGGTTTCTATGAATGTTGCATCCCTTGACTCTATCTCAGTCACTAAGCCGTCATCATTTTCACCTATGAAGACATACCCCTTAGAGTTCTCAGAGTATCTTATGAAGATACACTTTTTTCCCCTCGATTCTAGCTTGTCATACTTATGGGAAGAATCACGAATGTAGGCCGCTGACCCCCATGGTCTTAGGATGCTTAGATCCGGTTTACGGTTTGTCCATGATTCATAAGGGGTTGTGGTGACTAATTTAGAAGGCATTCGGTTAAGTATAAATGTGGCAGTTAAAAGAGCATCTCCCCGATATGAGGTTGGAAGCTCAGCTTGTGCCATCATTGATCTAACCATATCGAGGAGAGTTCTATTTCTCCTTTTAGCAACTCCGTTTTGTTGAGGAGTGCCAGGGATTATTAGTTGCCTAACAATACCCCTTTCTTCATAGAGCTCCTTGAACTGATCAGAGAGGTATTCTCGACCTCGGTCAGTTTTTAAGGCTTTGATTCTTGAACCTAGCTGATTTTTCACTAGATTGAGATATTTTCTAAAGCACTCTACTGCTTCAGATTTGTGGGAAATCAGGTAAGTATAGCCATATCGGGAAGAATCATTGATGAAGGTAATAAAATACCATGCTCCGTGACGTGCCCTAACACTCAATAGTCCACAAATATCAGAGTGAACCAGTTCAAGAGGATGGTTAGCCCTGGTTGCCTTTCCGAAAGACTTCCTTGTGCTCTTGCTAGCAAGGCAATGTTCACACAGAGACATTTCCTTTTTGGACACGTTTCCTAGCAAACCCTCTTTTGTCAGTTTGGTCATACGATCTTGACCAATATGTCCTAATCTAGCGTGCCATATATCGTAATTGACATCGGAAGAAAGTGCATAGCAAGAACTAGAAAAATTGTCATTGATATTTTCTAAAACAAAGAAACCATCCGAAACATAACCAGAATTGAAAAATTGGTCCTATACGAAATGTCTACTGTGAAATCATGAAAAAAGACATTGAAATGAAATTTAACTAAGGAAATAACGGACACAAGATTTCATCGGATTTCCGGAGCGTAGAGGACGTTTTGCAGGATTAGGGTTCTTCCTGCATGTAGGGTCAGCTCACAAGTACTAATCCCTTTGACTTCTACCCTCGCGTTGTTCCCAACATAAAGCCATCTGCTTCTTGTTGGTAACCGACGAAATTCTGTGAAGTTGCCATGATCCTTGCTCACGTGGTCTGTGGCCCCTGAGTCTATAACCCAAATAGGATTAGTTTCAGCAATAAACGCAGTGCTAGAAACATAAGAGAAATGTATTGAATCTGAATCCAATACCTTTTTCTGCTCAGGGAAGTCCTTGGCATAATGCCCCTTTTGTTGGCAAGCATAGCATTTGATGGTTGCTATGTTCCACTTCTTTGCAGGTTTTTTGCCTTTCTTGAAGGAATTCTTTCCCTTCTTTACTTTAGGGCTGCCTTTCTTATTTTGAGAGCCTTTGCTTCTCTTGGACTAGTTTTGGGAGGCTGCTCCTTCCTTTCCTTTAGTTAAATATGCCTTACTGATAGGTTTCACAGTTTCCATTCGGTCATCCTCCAGTTGGAGGTGGCGAGCTACATCAGCAAAGGTTTTTATACTCTCGTTATGAGTAATTGTGTGCTTCATGGTATCCCAACTTGCTGGGAGAGATCTCATGACAGCTTGAATCTGTTGCTCATCAAATAAGGTGCCTCCGACTTCCTTAAGCTCCCTGATTAAGTTCTGCATTGCCCTTAGGTGATGCCTTATGGGAGTGTTAGGACCCAGCTTGAAATCATCAAGTTTGACGGTGAGTCTCCTAAGCCTTGCAGCAGAGGTACCGTCAAATTCGGATTTCAGTGCTGCCCACATGGCAGAGGCGGAAGGGTATGTTTCAAATTGCACCAACACATCGTCAGTCATGGCACTTAGCATAGTAATTCTAGTGATAGTGTCCCTTCTTTTCTAGGCCGCATAGCCGTCCTGGTCCCTTCGCGATGCACTCGCCTCAAGCTTTGGAAGAAAAGTAGTCAACACATCAGTGACTTTTTGTTCTTCGAGGACATATGATATCTTACGTTGCCACATGCTGTAATTGTCTCCGTTCAGCTTGTCACCTCCTACGAGGTCAGCTATAATGGACTTGATTCCTCTTTGAGACATCGTGCTATCACATAGACAATGCATTTTAGTACGATATGCAACATACACGTTATTCAAGTAGGTCATAGGTCGTCCGGGTAAGAGTCTCACCATTTTCATGATCAGGAGACAACTAGGTTGGCTCCCATCCCATTACTCCTGGTTAGTCTCTTACCTTTCTTATCTCTGACTTTCCTTGAACATATCCCCAATTTGAGTTTTCCTCATGAAACTCTCACTCAAATAAAGCATTTAAAATATAAAAAAACTTTATTTAACGAAGCATAAATGTTTACAAAAATTTGGATAATTCAAAAATAAAGTCTCAAGAGTAAACATAAAATGAAAAAGAAAAATAAATGTGAACAAAAACTCATTCGTTCATGATATATTTTATCATAGGTTCTCTCAAACTTTCTTTAACATCTTTCCAGCATCTACAAAGATTTTGTTTAAAGAACCCTTCGCTAAATATGTGTCCCCTCCTTGCCAGTTCCTCTCTATATTCGATTGTAATGTTTGAGAAAAAGAGTGCGCCTTACTCGTTGAAAATTTGTTTAGCATAATAACTCAATTTTGAAAACAGACACTTTTGATGCTTGTATTCATCAGCATGTCTTTCTGGTATTTGTTCTATTAAATTTATGTCCTTGGGTCTGCAGACTTCTTCCTCTTGTTGGTCAGGAACACATTTCCTTTTACCACTGCTCCCCTCAGGTACATTAGAGTTTACTTGTGATTGAGGCGCTTTTTTTTTATTTGTACTTTCTTCAGCATAATAATTTGAAGACTTTGGAGCATCAAAAAGAGGAGAATAAGTTGGATATGTTTCAAAAGATTGGTTAGAATTTGAGTTTGCCATTTCCTAAACCCAAAAAAAAAGAAGTTAAGAAAAATATAAAAATAAATACTCAAAACATTTATTTGCCATTTTTCGTACCCAAAAGATCATAAAAAATAAGCAAATAATATATTAATTTGTAGCTTATGATTTTAGAAATATTTTAGGTCAAACAGGGCTCAAAAATAGGCCCTCACGCACCCTAACGCACCCCAATAAACATTCCCAATTTTTTTTAAATTTTTTATTTTAAGGGGTAGGTTCGCCCACTCTCGGGACCGGCACGTGTCATACATGCGCCGCCTTTCTGGCCTCTCGCCGTTACTTGACCTATTCCATTTGATTCCTCACGTCTTAAGGAATCTATACATGTGCCTTTTATGACCAAAGAGTCCGTAGGTGGACCCCACGTTCCCACAAGGCGCGTCTAAAAAAAAATTTCAAAAAAATTTTTTTAAAAAGTTTTTTTTTTTACCGACCCGACTTCCAGGGAGGATCTGGGTCCACAGACTTGAGACGCAGCATTTCACGTTGCGTCCTGGCCAACCCAAAATGACGCCGTTTTGGGCTGGTCAGGTTGTCCCTGACCTCCAGCCGGGTGGCCCCAGATCCGGCTGGAGCTCCGGCGAGTCCGTCGCGACCTGCCATCTTTGAACCTTAATATCTTCCACCTCCGAGCTCTGTTTTATGCATTTTAGGTGTCTATGAACTCGTATTCTCGTGCTCTACAACTCTATGGGTTCATTTTCTTTAAAAAAAACATCATTTTTAAAGACCCAAAAACTGGTTCGTACGGCCGACGTTGGAGCTTTTGAAAAAGAAGATTTTGATCACGTTTTTGAACCTTACAAAATTACAGGTAATGTTTTCGAGCTTCAAATATATATATATATATATATACAGAGTGTGTATTCGAGTTTAAAGCACAAGCACATCAAATTCGAATGGTATATCAACGGCAACGGAATAAACGAATAACATATATTGATAGCCTCAAGATCATTATGGCTCTGATGCCAATGTTAGAATAATATGACAATGGATCGAAAACATACCGGGTCGGGTCTCGGGTCGGGTCTCGGGTCTTCTTAGCTCACGCTTAAGCTAGACTATAAAAGTCTAAGCTTTTAAGTGCATAGCAGAGCACCTCTTTGCAAGAAAGAAAATAAGAGAGAGAGAGATATAGTAGGAAAGCTCTACTACTGGAGTGATTTGAACTGATGGGGGGAGCCTCTATTTATAGCTTTTGTCAGGGATATTTTGGGTAGTAAAGAAATATCCACTGAGCCCATCAGATAAAATCTGAGATAAGATATAATATATCCTCATCTCATAATATCATGATATTTGAATTTATATCTAGAATCAATCACAATTAATTCTAAATATATATACTTAATATATATTTAATCTACACAATATAAATTAATTAATTTAATATAAATTAATTAGATTTATATCGTAACCGATTGGATATGATTTAGAGTATTTGACCAAGTCAAACATATCACAATATCGCTTGGATATTTGACTGGTATATTCTCTTTATACCCAGTCAAATAATCTGGCCCATCAAGAGCGGATCCAAGCCTAGAATCTAACAACTAGGCTTTCCAAACCAATTTCTCTAATCGACCTGCATGATGGGGAGTGGGTCTATCAAAAGGGACTAATATCTCACAATGTGACAAATTAATATTTGAATTATTAGAGGAATGCTTACCATTTAGTGCCCAATAATACTTTGAATATAATTATCTATAACAGGAAGACACCTATGTTTAACAATAATAAAAAAAAAGATATAGTGCTTAAATATCTTAGAAGTGTACTCATGAAGAGCATCCAGGACTTGGAAACTTTTTTCGCCCTTATGCATCTTAGAAGTTTATATAGATTAGCGTCACCAACTAATAATTACAATAGTTTAACTACTTGTACAATTAATATATCTAGTGAGAGAGGGAGTGAGGGAGGGAGAATTAGATCCTAGGACGAGAGAAGACTACTTGCTTTTTTTTACGTCATAACCAGTGCGAGTAGCTACTTGTTTCAGAGCTGACTTCCTCCATCTCGGTAACTTATCACTCGAGTGTTTGTCATGTTTGTCAAAGGCTTCTTTGAACGCCCCCCCTCTAATTTCGAACCTCGGATCAATGTAACATGGAAGAAAATTGGTAAAACAGTATATCTTGATTCAATGACTTCCTCGCAAATCTTTCCCAGTTCATCCAAGCACCATGCGAAATAAGCATAGTTTTTTTGACATGTGCTAGTTTTTAAATCATTATCTTCTAAACACTAATGTTTGATTTCACTACAAAAAAAGCTTATTACTGACAAAATTAGTGATATAAAATTATTTTGTTGCTAATTTTTGATAGATTACCGACAAAAATTTTGCTGCTAAATTAAGAGATAGACTAGTGATAGAATAACAATGGAATTTCATTCTGTCACCAATCCATCAAAAAATCCATTGGTAAATTTAGCGACATAATTTTTTATTAGAAATTTATATCGCTAATCTATTGCTAATTTTAATTATAAAATTTTTAGCAATAGAGTTATTGATGGAATTTTTTTTATCACTAATTATGTCACTAATCCATCAAAAATCTTTGTAATAATATAATGATTTAAATATATTTTTAATTGTAAAAGAAATTGATATATTTATGGAGTTGGTGTTAATAAAGATAATATCATCATTCATCTCATTATTAGATATAAAAGACAATTTCTTAAAAAACTTGTTTTACGTTTCATTAAAATCAATTCCTTTTGATTATTAATAATAATTAAACAAATATAATCAAAATATTAATAACTTTCTTGTACAAATTAATATAAGAAAGAAATAATTCTATTATATATGATATATTGAAAGATGTAATATATGATAGCAATTCAAAACTGAACAATGAATTTACATGAACATCTCAATTTATGATTATAAATCAAACTAATATTGAAGTGAATTTTCAATTTGAGTCATTAAATAATGAAATATGATCATGATATAATTAATGACTCATTATACAGATTGATTTCGGTCTTCAACACAAAAATAAATTGTATATACAAAGATTTTTTTAGAAAAAAATTATGTAGGATACACACATAAGTAAGAGAAAGATGTTTACTATAATCTATTCAAATCATTTAATTTTTTTATATAGACTATTTATTATATTTTATTATAATAATGATTTTTTCAAATAATAAGATTTTCTTACTAATTATAAATAGTTTTCATCAAATATATAAAACACAAATAGATAATATAATATAATATATATTAAATCAGTGTTAATTAAAAAAATTAAATTTAGAAAATATATTTATGTCCAAAAAATTTACTATTTAAAATTGAAAATCAGCTTAATTAGAAATTAATATTATATTAAAAATAATCTTTAAAGGGAATAAACCATTATAGAGTAAATAGAAAGGTAAGTATTTAAAAATTATTTTGTCATAAAAATAGTTAAACTTAAAATGATCATATAATTTATTTTTGGTTTAACAGTATTTTTGCTCCAGAAGTTTTCAAAATGAGCTATGGGTACTCGGAAGTTTTTTGGAATGCAAGTTTACCTCAGAAGTACCAAAAACGTAGTAGTTTTGTCCTCTTCTAACAGACCCAAACGGTCAATGTCAATTAACTGAGTTAAGAAAAACGTTTTTGTCCCAGAAGTTTTCAAAAAAGAGTTGTGGGTATCTAAAAGTTTTTTTTAGTGTAATTTTACCCCAAAAGTAGAAA